AAAATAGGGAGAAAACAGAGGGAAAGTTGGTTGTCTGGAATTAACTTCTAGAATAACTACTTCTTTTTCATGATGTACAAAAGCCATATATTATTGTCATTCAGTTTATACAGAAAAGTTACTGTAAAGTGCTTTGGTACTTCCTTACTTGAAAGATAGTACAATTCTCTCTAAACGAGCCCTTGAACTAGAATTGAAAATGAGGAAAGGAAGGAAAACTCAAAAACAAAAATAAAGATCTGTTAGAAGGAACCATAACACTGTCCTACGCTAGAAACACTTCCTAGACCTCTTCCCTCCTCTCCCTCTTCTTTACTCAAATTTTTCTCAAACAATCGCAAGAAAGAATATTCCTTCATCATGGGCATAGTATATGCTCAATCAGGCAATTCAACTATTCATAAGACATTCTCAACCAAAACTTGCAATGTAAAATGACTCGTTCAAAATAAATATTGCATAGCGTCCTTTTTATGAAAGGACATTCGCATATCATTCTTAATTATCCTTATAATTCCGGCAACATCACTTGTTGATTAGAACATAACGATAATACAAAACCAACTAAGTAATTGCACTTCACCATTACAATTGAGCTTCATCTTTTCACACGTGTTAACCCAAGATCATGGCTCTGCTCACGTATCATAGATCAACGGCAATACTAAGCATTAAAACCTTAATCCAGATATATTAAGAGGAGAAAGTAGAATCCGAAAAAAAAGATGCAACCGTTCTAGTTACTTTAGATTGATGTACAGAAGATGAAAAACAGCAGAACATATTCATTCTACAATGAAGAAGATTAATATTTTAAAAGATCCATTTATCGAAGAAATCAAAATATGATTTAGAATACGGGGATCAAGTGAATCCGTTAAATGGAAAATTCCAAGGAACGGATAAACGAACCTTCTATAACTCATGGCCTATAGGGTACGCCGTCCCTTTGTTCGTGTTAGCCGGGAAGAAAATGGATCTCACCCGAGAAATTGAGACGATGGAGAGAGAGAGAGAGAGAGAGAGAAAGAGAGAGAGAAACAGGTTGGGTTGTGTTCGGTTGACAGAAAAATTTCCGGTAGCTCTTATTTTGGGCCTAAGCTTGGAATGCGAGCCCAGTGACAGATAATGCATTCTAGTGGTGAAGTTGCAACAGATACTGTTCAGGATTCAAACGATGCCGTTTCTGGGTAAACTAAGCATCTGTTTTTCTTTTTTACTGTTTATTCCGTTAGGAGAGTTGATTATGTAATTAATAAAAAATGTGAACTTACAAACATATATATCTATATAATTGGAGGAATTATAGCACAAAATATCTTCCGAGAATAAAAGGTAACTCCAAGTGATTCTTTTTCCGGTGGTAAATTATGCTTAATACCACGTGATTGGTAAATCATGCATGAAGTAAATATGCATATGCATTTTTAATGTTAATATTCACGTATATGAATTATATATGTATACAAATGATACCATGTGGTTGGTAAATCTTGTACGGATATAAGTATGTATACGCTTTTTTAATGTTAATATTTATAAATCAAAGTGTAGTTAATAAAATTCAAAAAAATATATATTACAATATTATTGATGCTGAATGAAGCATGTATGTAGCACTTGATTACTTTTTTTAATTAATTTTTTTACTTTTAATTCTTATATTAATTTTGTTGTGCACAATTAAAATATAACATATTATATTTGTTTTTAAAGTAAAAACTTTTAAAAGTGGGAGTTGAATTCCATTATTAAAAATTCAAAAGGTAGATGATAGCAACTCAAACATGGCAGATTATATTTTAATTATACATAATGAAACTAGTATAAAAATTAAAATTAAAATTAGAAATCAATTAAAAATAAAATCAAAATTTAAGGATCATAGTAAAAAAAAAAATTTCAAATTCAATAGTGGATTTATTTTTTTATACCTTATATAGATACACGTATACACACACACACATTTATATCTATATTAGCAGAAATTAGAGCAATGAATGTTTTATTTATGAGGTTTTGGTGTTAGTAGGGGGAAGCATGAATTTTAGGTCATATATAAAATGTGATAGAGAAAGGTAGCAGAAGGGAAGGGGAGAGTTGATGAAATTTATTAAGAGAAAAAAAAAAAAAAAAAAAAAAAAAAAAAGAAATTAATGAGACCAACATTCGACACTAAATGCATTTTCTCTACCACCTGCTTAATTGAATGCCCTTTCATGTGGTCATCATCTACATCTATCATTAATTCATTCCATTACCCATTCTTTCGTCTTGCTGAGGCGAGTGTGAAGTCAGAAAACATATCTATGTATACTGAAAATGAGTAGATATCAGTGAATTAAGGCGTATATTGCTGCTGTATTATAACCAACATAAATATTAATTGATTACTACGAGCAAGCTTCACAGAATACATCATTACCCACACCACCATATTTCATGCCTATGCGTACTTTAGGAGACATCCGACTCTTTTTTTCATATCCACCACTAGACTGGGGACTAGATTCACTACTCACAAGCGCACTTAAAGTTATATAAAAACAAATACATGCAATATATATGTATATATATATATATATATGCACACACCTATATGTATGCAATTCCTTTCCATTTGATATTTTTCTTTCGCATATATCTTGATTCTTTTTCTTTTCATACACGACCTGATGCAGATTTCATCATCCATCATTACAAAAGACTTGACAACATACATATATATATTATATGTATGTATCTTTTTTACAACGTAAACATCTCCAATTACTAGTTATAAATAGGAAGCAAAGAAATGAATAACCTCAAAATGAAAGCAAGCAACCACTGATTATCATCATCACAAACAACTTGATTCCTCTCCTACTGAGTATCACAAATTCTAAAAAGTAAGAGCACAAGATAATGCCTAAGAGGAAGGACTGACTGTGCATAAAAATTATATACACTTGATGCAGAAAATAATAAATAATCCCAATTCCATACATAAACAAAGGGGAAAGATTAAAATTTCCAATTGATGTTTTTCCACATGTATCTTAAATGTTTGTCTTTCTTTCATTAGATGATGCATATGTCATAATCCCGCATCACATATAGGGAAAAATCAACGTCACTTGAAGACTAATCAAGTACAGGGACATGCAATATCATGTTTAACCACTGAACCTGTGATTTGAATGGTAGCCTCTGGACAATTATGGTATGAGGAAAAACCTATACTGAGACTGGAAAAGATCTATATACTATTTTGACTATTAACACAAGTATATAGCATGTAAAATCATCAATTAGCAGTTATAAACAGGTAGGTAGCTTGTTCCAACTCATTCATATACGTGAATAAATCTTAAGGAAAAGCTGACTTTACACAAAACTATATACATGTTCTCCAGAAGATACTTCTGATTTCATAAAATAATTGGAATTAGAGCAAATTTCAGATTGATCCCTTGTGATTTCATGCTTTCTAATTTAAGAACATCTCATTTTTTCTTTGACAACTCACTACCCCGTGGTTCAGATATTCTTTGTTTACTTCTCTTTGAATCTTCTGTAGCCATGAGCTAGTGAGTTTAACTAACATTTAAAATACAAGATAGTGAGTGGCCAAAAAAAAAAATTCAAAACTCCTCAAACCACAAGTGATCAAACTGAAATTTGCCCTCTGATTATATACATTAGAAGTTAGAACTTCGCATACCTTGAACCCAAATACATAATCGAGTACTCCCATATGCAATAATATATCTATTGTGTGCAAAGCTCAGGTATTCACATGCCGTGGATTTTCCATCTTCATAAATGTATCAAAAGTCCATTGAAAATGATCTAACCTCAACCCACTATTCAAGTCCAACAATTTCATCAGTTAAGATAAGAGGCTCCACATTGCAGCTGCCACTCCATGCAGTCCTCGAAATCAAAACTGCTCGCACAGTCCAGCAATGCATTTTGCTGATGCTCATAACGACATATGTAATTTAACCCAACAAGAAGATCAGAGATGGCTGCCTCTGTTTTCTCCCTGTCAGCGAAGTATATTGTCTGGAGGAGAAGAATATTGGTTCGTGTCACGATCTGCTGTTGCTCAAAATTGCGCTCGCTTTGCCATCTGATCATGTTATGCGCCAGAGGTGCCAGCCAGCTAAGTATACCTTCAAGAGTCTCCTTCCAATCGTGGGCGAGAGGGGCATCATATATTGCCAGATTCTTGACATACGACTTGAGCTTAGTCCTCAAAGACATTCTTAAGCTAGTTGGTAACATCTGGTACAAATCATCTCTGGCTTCTTCCCCAACTAAATGAGGGTAGCGAAGCAGCTTCTCTATAACAATTATGACATTTGCATAATGCAAGGCTAGAGCAGAGCCTCCAATAGTGGAAGGAGAAGCATACATAGTTAACCTACTTCTGGGTCCAAACCGGGCGTTGCCCATGACACCTTGTCTTTGATCTCCACTTCCAAAGTCACCAATTTGGGAGCGATTGAAACAAGAAGAATGACGTCGGGTTCCACCATTTGCAATAGTACTGCAAGAGCTCGAAATTTGGCTGCTTCTGTCATCACGAACAACAGCATCATCGTCATCATCATCGTCATCATCAAACTTTGAAACCGAACTGCTCAAGCTGAGGCAATCCGTGAAAAGTCTCCCGGGATTAGTCCCACAAGAAAAGTTGAAATCCTCTGCACGAAACAATGTTGTTGCTTCGCCTCTTCGTGGATCAGTGGGATGCTTAAAACTCGTTACTCTTTTCACCGCCACAGCTCTTTCAATATGTCCCGAGTGAAACCCGTTACTATTCTTGCTAAGGGTTCTGTTCAGCGGCCCTGAAACCACCTGCCCATTACGACGCTCATCAATCTGACTGGAGAGCCGCCCACATCCATCCTTCATAAGAGGAGAACACACACCAACCAGCCCAAGACTGTACCTCCTCAAAGCAGAATCTCCAAAAACCAGACAAATCCTTGCAAAAATCGTGCATACGGTCCTCGCCAACAACTCAACGACCTTATCAAATGTCTGGTTCCAGAGGGAAATTTCTTTAAGATGCCTCACATCCTGCTTCTGCCACAACAACTTCTGCTCAAAAGCCCTGCGAGTCTCCTCGTGCTGATTCTGCTGGAACTTCTTGGTAGCTTGTTCCAACTCATTAAACACTTCCATTTCACTGTACAAATTGAAGGTGGTATTCACGTACCTCTCCAGCTTCCTCACCATACCTTCCATATCCTTTACCAAACATTCCAAATCCTTCACATCAATAACCCCACTTACTATATCCCCGTACACATGCTCGAACCCCTGCAACGCGGGTTCACTACACTTTCTGCCTAACCTGGAGACAGCGCTGGCGACACGATTGAGGTCATCGAGTTTCTCAGCAAGCGCGAGGTCTAGAAGGAAATTCTCGTCAGAAGAAACCAAGTTCTTCACTCCCTCCGAATTCAAGATCTTGGTCTTGAGGTTCGAGATCTCTGAGTCGGCGAGGGATTTATGCAGGTGGACTGTTTTGGACATGAGGTTAGCCACCTCAAAGGATAGAATGCCGATTATCTGTTTAGGTTTTAGGGTTTTGAGGTTCTTTTTCTTGTTGGAAGATGGTTCGAGAAGGAGAGCGTGCTTGAGATTTTCACTTACCTGGTTACCCATTTTCACTATCCAAGCCTTAGCGACCATTGCGGCTCACTTCCCCAACTAAAAAAAAAAGAGAAATAGATGTGTTTGAGATCTCAAATTCACAGATTGTGGTTCTCAGCTGCCACAGCTGATGGAAGTGAAATGTATTTGCAGATCTAAGAGAAACGCCCCGGTGATGGGAGGCAGCTTTGGCGTGAACAAAGTAAGTGGTCATAAACTAGAGTGTGTAATGATTGCGAAAAGAAGCCATTTGAGAGACAATTGAGTTAAGGCGTGTAGAGAGAGGAAGAAAAAGGAGAAAGAATGGGAGCAGGGCAGGGAAGGGCAGGGCGCCTGGCATTCTTGGAGTGATGAGTGTTTGAAAAAAGGGAATCCCTTCTTGTTTTCAATTGAACAAAGTGGAATGGTTTGAACCCTTTGAAAAATATATTGTATTTTTGTCTCCTACTGGCGTTAGATCTTTTTTTATTGGAACTGGGTTTAGAATTAGGGTTGACAGTAGAAATTCCGGAATAGGAGGAGTGAGATTAGAGATTAGGGTAGAAAGTAGGAGGTACCAACTTGAACCAGAAACAAAATTAGTCAACGAATACCCATTTGTTCATTTTTCAAAATTTGATGGGTTGGTTAAAATTAACGTGTTTTGACTTATATATATATATATATATGTGTATATTAGGTGATAGCCACTCCCCTTTGTTTACATTTAGAATATGATTGGTCACCTTTTTTTTACCTTCTTTTTGTTTTATTTATCATTCACATCATAATTAATTACCAACTTTTATACTATCAAATTCCAAAAAAACTTTTAATGCTATCAATTATCTTTTTAAGTAACATATACATTTAAATACAAAATGATATTTATGTTAATCGTTATTCAGAAATCTGAATTCACTTTAAAATAATTTTTATAAAATAAAATGCTTTTTTGGAATAAAATAAAATGTTTATTATCCTATTGAAAATTTATTTTTTTTTTAAATTTCTAAATATATATATTTTTTTCACTATTTTTATCAAAATAACTTATTATTTTAATAGGAATATTCATATTTTGATTTAAATCGAAAAGTTGAATCGGATCATACTATTTGATCTATTTTTCAATTTATAAATAAGAGAATGAAAATTTTTGGTATATTTTAATTCAATTTTTAATTTAAATAGAAATTAATTGAATTATTAAAAAATGTTATTTTTTTTCTAAATTTAGAAAAAATACTCAATTTTTGAAAAAATAAATAAATTATTTTCAAACAGAAAATATCATTGAATGATATTTATACTATAAATGAATATTTTTTTTTTTAATCTTGTTTATTCTTTGTTTTGATCTAATTTTGAACTAGTAAATATTCTAATATTTTAATGTAGCAAAAATAAGACACATCATTATCATAACTTCTAATTTTGAGTGTAATGACTTTTGATAATTAAAAGAAAAGTTGTCAAAGTGAAACAAGAGTGGGAGTTGGTTTATTGAGACAAAAGCAAGGCAGCTAAGTACTCCCATTCACACATCTCAAAACAATCACATGCTGACAAGCTAGATCTAACACACAACTACACCAAATCAAACGTATTCATTTCAATAATTGTTAAACAAATTTTTAAGTACAATTAAAATTGTTCTATTTTAATATTTCATTAAGTACGAAATTATAGTTAAATTACTAGAAATTATTTGTTTGGTTCTAAATACATTCTTTTTATTACTAGAATTACAATATTCTGACATAGGCAATATTGCAATTTCTTAAATTTAAACATTTATTTGTTTTAGAAAGCATAAATATAACGTGTGCTAGAAACTAATTGCAATATTGTTTAAATCTGTTAAATTAGGATAGTTTAATAATTGAAATTCATGGATGATTATGTATGTAGTTTTTTTAATTTTACGAAATTAAAAAAGAATGAGAAATGAAAGCAAAATATTTTGAGATAAGATTTCTAAAAATGAATTTATTAAGAGATTGTTTCAATTGTCAATTTAATGTTTTTAAGTTAATAAAGTAAAAGATAGTTATTAGGATTAGGGTTACATCATTAAATCATTAATCAACTCAAACTTTGTTAAAAATTAAAATAGTAACTAATTTACATGATAATGTGCATAAATCTTTATACTTCTAAAAGTAAGCCAAAAACACATTCATTTATTACATAGTTTTACTCATGTAGTACATAGATAATTTTTTTTTTTAAAACTATTTTTAAGGAATAATTAGGATCATTTTAACTATTAATATTTTAGATTTTATTTTTAAAAAATTACAAATTTAGTAGAAATTATTTTTTATATATAATTTTTAAAAATTTAATATTTTATTTTTAAACTATTAAAAAATTATAATACATTTTAAAGTCAAATTAAAACAAACATTGGAGCTCGATCAACTGTAAAAACAAAAGTATTATCAACTTTTGTGAATTTAAAATTTTTTAAAGAAGTAGAAAAAAAAAAAAGGTTTCTTGGAGATGAGTTTTGTGTTATTAAGAGGTATTTTTTAATAATTAATATAATGACATGAAAGGAAAAAAAGAAGAAATCTTTATGAATAATATCAAACAAACTTACAATAATTTTTAATAGAATTTTTTCAAATTAAAAAATAAAATTTTTCATTATAAAATAATAAAACTAAAAAGATAGGTGATGACTCAAAAGGGCATATGGAGGACCATTTTTATAATTTTGTATTTATTTCTCTTATTCTTTTTTTTCTTTAATGTTCTCACCTTTTAAGGAGAGAATATTGGCCTTATAATTTTTTTTTCTTTCCTCATTCTTTTGGATATTCTACCAATTAATAAATAGAATGAATTGATTAACTACCTAACAAGCTAAAACTCCTCCTTAAGATGGAGCAAATATGTTTTTAATTCTTATCTTGGATAAGAGATGAAGTATATATTGAGAAAATAGAGCTTTAGTGAGGATATATACACGTTGATAACAAAAGTGAACAGAAAGAATGTAACATCCCAACCCTTTCTTTTTATTTTATTTTTATTATTGTAATTATTATATGAATATAATTATTGTTTCTGTAATTTTATATTGAATTTAATTTAGTTTAATTTATTTTAATAAAAATAATAATAATAAAATGGATAAAAATTATTTAGGGATTTAATTAAAAATAATTTTAAGAAAAATGAGTGAAAAATTGGGTTCTGTGGATATTTTTGAAAGAAAAATTGAAAACCGAATGTCAAAACGCAATTTAAAAAAATTGCGCCACGTCAGCTGCTCGATCAGCAGCCCCGGCCAACCAGGACGTGCCGCGTGGCAGAGACGCTGATGCGGGAGGCCACGAAGAAGGGAGCCACTTGGGCGATCTGCGTGCGTGCAATCGAACGGCTGAGATCCGTTCCCGTGTGCACGGACGGCCCAGATCAAAAACGCGCACGGATTGCCCAGATTGCATCGCGCATGGACGGCCCAGATTAAATCGCGCACGGACGGTCCAGATTGAATCGCGATGAACGGTTCAGATTCATTTTCTATTTAAACGCGATCGGACGGTCCAGATTAAATTCGATGGACGTCTCAGATTAAAAGCGGATAGTTATAAATAATCTTATTCGCACCCAAATCCAAACCCTAGCCACCAGAGCCCCTTGCCAGAAAAGACAGCCCAGCTACCGGGGAACCGACCGTCGCCCGCTACCGCCACACCGGAGCAATTTTCGGCCGCCAAACGAGGTAAAAATTCTATCCTTTGCTCAGAATTTGATTTAAAACCCATCTATAGTCAAATCGGAGCGAAAGCACCGGCCAATTGGCTGGAAAACGCCGCCGAAGCCCAACGGCGTCATCGCGGGGTGTCTTGATTTTTGCCTCCGATGAGGCCTTTCCCGATTCCCATTCGACGTAATTTTTCCACCTTTGTGATCACTGCTTCCTCATCTACAGATTAACAGGAGCAAAACACCAAACCACGACATGAGCTGGAGGAGCCGCTGCACTAGAGAGCCCCACCGCCGGTAAGTTTTAGTTTTTTGTATTTTTTGGGCCCACCGAGGGCCCTAAGGTGTTTTCTCACAGGAACCGATGTAAGTTTGGCTGAATTCGACCGAAAACGGCTGAAAACAGCCAACTCGAGGCGAATCGCCCTGCGAGCGGCAGAGCCGTCTCCGGAGCACGGCGGAGCCGTTGTGCCAGAATTTTGAAATTGGCTGAATAAGCCTTGGGTCTGATTTTTATTTGGGACATGTGTAGGTACCATAAGCGCGTTTCAGTTCCCGAGGAAAAATTCATGGAACCTAGGGACCGCCCGTAGGCGCAATGAAAATTAAGAGTTCTATGTCAAATATGGTAAGAACCCCTCACCCTATTTTCTATCATGGAATTGAAGTATGAATAAATGATAATATTGTATTTTGCACAAATTAAATAGATATGCATAATTAATTATGATTGCTAATGGAGCACGAACCAGATATATTTCTCTGTGAATTCCTGTTTGATTTATTTTACGGTTTAAATGCGTTATGGTATCTGGTTTATTTATTCTATGATTTTGAATGCATGAGTCACTACTTACTTCACTATTGTTTGATTTTAGAAATCTAATATATGCTTGCTTTGTTGGATGCACGTTACTTGTTTAAGTATTCATGTTTGAATTGGTAACAAAGACTAAGAAAAAATAAGAAATGGGTGTGATTTGACAAATGGATAAGATGACAGCCTCATTAGATATCCTGGGAGATGGTGGACGGACCGGCTTTATAGGGAACCCTACCGTGAACGTTGTCTTATACCGGATGGGGTATGAAGACTTTAATATTTTGGCGTCCATACCGGATGGGATATGGGGACGACTCGCTTTACCCTCATACCAGACGGGGTATTGAGGTTAATTGTTTTGGTGCTCATACCGGACGGGGTATGGGGACGGATCTGAAATTAAGTTTGTTAAGGAGAATGGTTCACGTGTAGCGAGGACACCTATGGATTCCCATGGATACTAGTAGGCTGATAAGAAGGGGTAATTGTTGTTTGATGATTTGAATAAAAGTATGATATGTGCTATGTTACTGATTATATATGAATTCATGATATTTATGATGTTATTGTTTCCATAAGTTATTTTTATAAATCTCACTGTGGTAAGTGGACGGTAAATGGTTTGATTATTGATAAATGAATTTGTTTAAATCTACTGCTCCATTGGTTGTTTTAATTTTCTACGAACCTTTGCTTCTATGACAGTGATTAGTGTGATGTCCTTATTGGACTAGTGTAGCTCATTCCTTATTTAACCATTTCAGATCAGGAGGACCTGGTTCCCGAGCCTGATCCACAAGAAGACGGCGAGTAGATGCTAGATACCTTATAGTTTCTTTTATTTTTCTTAATTCTCGTATTCCTTTTAGAGAACTTATTTCGTGATATTATTTAGTACCTTTAAGTTATTGTGTAAGAGATATTAACCTTAATCTTTTATTTCGCTTTCACAGTCAGATTATTATATATATTTTCTTTTGAATTTCCGGGGCCATTACAAAGAAGGTTGATGTGTCATGTGAGAATCTAATACTAAACAAAGTAATAATCAATTTCAATATATTTA